CAGTAACCTTATCAAATGGCTAATTTGGTTATATTGTCTTCAAAAGTAAACTTGTTCAAAGCATATAATAAGTAGACGCAGATGTTCAAACATTTAATCATTGCTAATGGATGTAATTATAAGAAAATAATTAATCTTACCGGCATTCCCGTGCTCGTTAAACGTAATGAAATAAACAAATAAATATGTGAACCGTTCCTTCTGTGACAAATCTGTTTGTGACAAACCTTCTCATTTATTAAAGATGATTTTGAAAAAAAAACATGCATTTTTCTTTTTGACAAAGAAAAAAAACACGCAATATATGCTACTATGAAACTGTTGCTGGAATAAATATACGACTGTGTGGTGTTCGAATTTAAAGGTTGAAAGCTTGTTTAAAATTGACTTGCTTCTTTATATTTTAAACATATACATAAGAACTAATTTGTTACGAGAGCTTTGTTAAATAAATAAATTGATATTTATTAGTCATATAATTGTTAATACTGTTATTATTGTTATTATTTATTTATGATAATATTATTATTATTTATATATTTATTTATTTATTTATTTATCTTTGATATTTGATGATTCATTACTTAAAACAAAACTAAATAGAAGATAGCAAATTTTACAAAATATCGGAAGGTGGGTTTTCTTTGAATTATATAGTAAATAATTTTTGACAATTTATTTATTAGTAATGTTACGCAGATGAAAACATTGAGGTGTTGTAAATGTTACCTAAACCATTCTAAATGCTATACTTTTGACACGTGTACACGTGCGTAAATGACAGAGTAAAATTGAAAGCATAATAATCTGAACTATATCTAACCTTTTGAAAGAATTCATATTATCAGGAAGGTCTCTAATGGTTTATTCTAAATATAAAACATTTAAGTTGAAAGAATTACAGTCGAGTTGATGTTCTAGTTCAAGCAAATGATGTTATCATAACTGATATGCTTGAGTAAGATTAAAATCTAAAGAACGTAGAAATAATAAGTATAATCATCAATTTAACAAGCTAATCTTTATTTTATTGTGTTAGAAATCATTAAAATGTGATTGATTCTTAAGTGTTAAGACAATGAATTAAAATATATTCTTACTATAAACAAATATCAGGTGTTAATATGTTGTTTTTTTAAATTCATAAATTCTAAAGTAAGTGCCACTATGGAGTTAGCGGTTTGTTATATGAACATTATTTAAACAATGTTTTGCTTCAATGGTATAATGAAAATTGCTATTTTATATAATTACAAATGCTTTTAAACACTTTTTCCTCGTCGTTGTCTACGTTCAAAATTACAAGATTCTGAAAACAAAGTGATCCCTCGGAAGCATTAATCACAACAAAATAACATAAGAATTGCAGACTCGGTTTTATTGAGTCTGTACATGAGGGATAATGTAAAAGTGCAACATCCCTCACGCCCCCTAGCACCGGCTTGAGCGGTACTCAATTCTCAACACTTTATAGTGTTGGCATCAATGATCCCGAAGGACCAGACAATATAACAACACTGAAGTGAAGTACGGAAAACTTTTTACGGCTGCCACACGGCACTTGACACCTGCTGTTGTGAAGAACAAAATTCGGTCATCTCTCACCCGATCAATACTAACAAAGTCGAAGTATAAATAACGGATTTCACAGAGGAATATCATAATATCTTTTTCATTTTTTAAAAACATTTTCTTTAAATTTCAATTTTAATTTTAACTTTAATTCTTCCCCTAGTAATTTTGCAATGCGTGGTGTTTGGATCCGGAATGCGGATGTATTGTTCGGGTACTGGTTGGCCTAAATTCCTTGTCTCCGTTTTTCCTCCTTTTTTCTCTTAAAATCTGGAAACAAAGTAAGCATTAATCTCAGCAAAATTACATGAGGATTGCAGACTAGGTTTGATATAGTCTGTACATGAGGGGTTATAAATAAGTGCAACATCCCTAGTACCAGCTTGAGCGGTACTCAATTCTCAACACTTAGAAGTGCTGGCATCAATGATCCCGAAGGACCAAAAAACACTGTATTGAAGTACGAAACAACTTTTTACAGCTGCTACACAGCACTTGACACCTGCTGTTGTGAAATAAAAAATTCTGGAAACCAAGTGGTCCCACGGAAGCAATAATCACAACAAAATTATATGAAAAATTGCAGACTCGGTTTGATTGAGTCTGTACATGAGGGATAATGAAAAGTGCAACATCCCTCACGCCCTAAGTCCATTTTTGTTTTATTCATAATACAATAAATTATAAAAGTGTTTTACTGTTGTGCATTCTGAATTTTCAGCAATTTATTGTTTGATTAAACTTATATAGCACAATCCATTGACTGTTTTTATCTTAATTTAATTCTATATTGCACAATCCATCTATTTTGTTTATCTTAGTAACATATTACATGTATCAATCAATAGCAGTTAAAAGAGGGTCATAATGAACGGTCATAATATCAAGATAATAATGACTTAATATGTTTTATATAAAAGCCACTTTTTTACAATCACAACTTTTTAGCAGGAAACAGATATATTTACATTCAGACAGTATATAATAGAGGAATCAGATTTATAAAAGATATTATAAATGAACAGGTTATCTTTGTAGATTTGACATATTTAGAACAGGTCACAGGTAAACCTGTTAACTTTTTACAGTATCATAGTTTAAAACAGGCAATAAAAATGTACATGCAAAAGTTACATATTTTTATTAGTAACAATTTGCTAAATGTTCAATATCCTATAATAAATTGTTATGTTAAACCTATTTTAACTATGAATAACAATAAGAAATATGTTTATGAAATTATAGCTAAAAATTCAGGCATACCTACAAGTCAAGAGAGGTGGAACACATGTTGAAAGGATAATAAAATTAACTGGCAGTTAATATATATTATTAGTTATGTTTTTAAATGTTCTAAAGATTCATATATTTAGTGGTTCCAAACAAGAATTATTCATAGAACTTTAGCTACAAACTCACTTTTGTTTAAAATGAAAATTGTTGACAATAAAATGTGTACTTTTTGTAAATACTGTGAATAAACACTTTTACATTTATTTTGGGAATGTCAGAAAATTCAAAGCCTATTTCAATACCTTAGAGAAAACTTAACATAATATTGATGATGTTCTTTGTTGTAAATCATTCATATTAGGTACAGAAACTAAAGATTTTAAATATGACATATTGTTTCTAGAATTGAAAAGATATATTTATTTGTCTAAGAGAAAAAACTTTTTACTTACATGTATTGGTTTTAAAAATAGTTTGAAACTAGCATGGTATATCTATAGAAATACACATTTGACAGATGATGAAAGTAATAAATGGTCAATTATTAGATCCTTAATTGATAAAACTACACTTAATATGTGAAACAAAACTTTACCTCGTAACATATTGTTTGATTGTTAATAAGTAGTATTCTTTATTGGTTAATATTTTTGGAAAATAGCTGGGTCTATTGTATGTATGTTGTTTATATTTATATGCAAAGTATATACTGTAGATGTATTTGACAATATTTACATGAATATAATTATTTTGCAACAAGTATATTGTATATTAACAATGTAAGGTATGATGGGGGATGACCCCGACCACCTCATACCTATTACGGGGTAAATAAACGGGGTTACCCAGATTGGGCCTAAAAAAAATGTTGAATATAAATGTGGAAAAAACACCTATTAATACAATAACTACAAAATGATTATCAAGTAAGAATAGCAAAGTTATATATTGATTGAAAAATAATAATAAGCTTACAATTACAAAAATGAATTAAGTGATTTAAAGAAGTTATTTAAAAAACACAACTCTGTGTTTGTCTGTAACGCGATTCTCTTATTTTTTCTAAGTGGCTGATGATTTGCAAAATATTAATTAAAGTTACATTAAATAAATATGTTAAAATATTTTTGCCGTCAGCCCAAAAACCAAGCATTCTACAGTTTCATTAACCTTTTTAACAGTATCGTTGTAAATCTCATCAAATATTGTTCATAAATTAGGATTTTAAATGGAAAACCCCACGGTAACACTAAAGTTCGTATACGAATTTTAACATGCAAATGAAGACTATAATCAGCTCGTGTATGTGCTACGTCACGGAGTTATAGTTGCTATCCGGAACACAGCAAATATAAGATTTTCTTGTGCAAACACATTTTTACCGTTTAAGCTTCACGGTGCACTAGGCCTGTGGTTCAGAAAAAATAATCATCTCATAAAAAAGATTGAATTTGTATGAAAATATCCGTAACAATGCGGAAATATACCGTTAATTTAGGACTGCTACTTATAGTCATGTTTGTTGATTTAATATTGATGTACGGATGATCTGAAGGCGGAGTTTCTCATGCAAACAGAAATTGTACTCCCGAATTCGCCACAATGAGGTTGCACATTTGAATGCTCATTAAACTCATTTTGGTTGCCTAGACACCAAAATAAGATCTGGAGTCGATATGAAACCCAATTTATTAATGAAATGTCGCTATAATGGTTTGATTGTTTTAAAAAATAAGAAAATAAATGATCATGCATCAGCTGATTTCTCTCTCTTTATTTTCGAATAACTTTAGGAGGAACATTTCACATTTGATTGTTTTTAGAGACACTATTTTAAAGTAAATTTTCGGTGTCAAAGTTAAACGTAGTGAAACTATACAATATGCTTTAAAATAGATAATTTTAACTGGATGAAAACAGTTTCAACCAGTTTTTAAACCTAGCTGCTGAATCCATTTTCATATTTAATAGAGGTCCTACTTACTGCAATATAGAGTCAAGTGAAGAAATTATGTTTAAAAATAAAATGCCGGTGATGCTTTGGTTTAACTAGCAGTTTACCTATTTTTACCTGAGCTAATCTGATAATGAACTGTGATTGCATTTCTAAAGCCGATGGATGTTCTGTTTATCGTGCTCGGGTTATATATCCCGTTCTTGGGTGATACAAAGATCTTTAAATGAACAACAATATAAAATGCTTTATTTAATAACAATTGTTTATATAGTTTTATATAATAACAAAGAGGATTCAGCTATCAAATGGTTTTTCGTCTTGGGATATTGTTACGAAAGCACCGTTGCTTTTTTCAGCAAGGCATATGTTGATAGTATGACTCCGACGGCGGACAAGATTTATTGCCTCAGTTTGTATAAATCTTGACCTGCTCCTATTCTTGTGTCTACAAAATGTTTTTATAAACAATTTTCTAAAGTTTGAGCCAAACAGAGCATACACACAAATATTAACAGAGAAACTCATATAGTATATCAACTGAAATGAAACCTGAATCGTTGCTTGTACAACGGGAGCTGTCCTTGCTCCCTTCGTAAACGATCCGATAAGCAACATTAGTCTCATCACGTGACTAGGTACATTCAATGCAAAGAATGTAACAGAAACAACAAACAACATCTTCGTTACTTTTGCTATCGGAAGTATTTTCTTTGGCCTTTGCTTCTCTTGGGTAAGTCTCTCTAAAACAGTGTCATGTAACCTACGTACATGTATTATTTTCATCATTTTGTAAGCTATCATAGACAGCAACACAAATATTATAACGGTAGGTATAACTAATGTCAACAAAGTATCTGAATATACAAGGACTTGCGTCAGTAATGAGAAACTCGGATTGTGGGAGCAGTCTTCGTTGATTATCCACAGTGAAATGTTATAAACACCAAATGCCAACAGAAGCACAACTATAATACATATTCTTGCAACTTGATTGCAACACACTCGTCGGGCAACGTAAGGATTGTGTATAAGCAAGAAATTTTCTGTAGTAATGAATACACATAACCATACCGACACACATCCACACACATATGTCATAAAGATTGTTAACTGACATACTCCTTTGACTTGACTGAGTTTTAAGTTGAACGTGCTTGAAACCCAAACAAGAAACAGACTAAGGAGAAAGCCATTGTCACTTATTCCACGCGTTGCTAGGTAAAGGGAACATGGCGCATCTCGAAGTGGTTTCCTGAGGAAGGTTATCGTTGACAGGCTATTGCCAATAAGGCCTAACACACATATTACTGGTAGGCATATAGTCTCTACTTTGACCATCGTAGCAAAGGATTGGTCGTATGATGGCGCACATGTTCCATCCGTACAGCTGTCATTATATGACGTCGCATTGTTAATGCTTCTTCCATCCTGTAGAATATGTAACGGTTCGGCCATTTGTAGCTGAAATGATATTGAAATAATATATTTATTAGTTTTCCTTTGATGCGTTGGTAAATTATTTAAAGTTGACTGTAACTTGCGTTCATTGAACGCCACTTTTCCCATTTGATCTGGTTTACATTATTTTTGGAAAATTGTCAATTGTTTGATTTAGGTAATTCCGTTATTTACTCCTTAAACTAATTAAATAAGCTTTCTAATCATGAATCCTATTGACCATGTGATCTTTTGATCATATCATTTTTATGGTTTTGTTGTTTAATATCATGATAATTGTTTACTGTCAATTTGATATGTCAATTTATGAAATAAGTATCGCCGACATCTTCTTATTAATAAGTCATTATTTATGAATCTTATACTAAGTTACACTATTTAAATTCAAGATGTCCATGTTATTTTGGATAATTTTATTGGTTGAATATACAATTTTGTCCAGCATTGTTGTAATTCAACATTTGTTTTTAAACTCATACAATAAGAACAATACACATTTCTTTTTTTAAGTTGCATCGAAACTATTACATAAAATCTCAAGTTTTCCAATTTCCCATAAGAATAGGAAAATTGATATTTTAACCGAATATAGTTTATTACACAGTTAATTAACGTTTGGTTGTCCTAGCATTAAGTCTTTGTAAGGTAGTCATTTATCGATATTGTGTTTCTACCCCTAACTAATTACAACTATAGACAACGTATCAATCAAAGAAATTGTCATGTACTTGGCAAAAGTTCGTGCGCTCTGAAGTAGCCTCTATCTGTAGACTTCAGGTCAATCACATAAATGTACAACTGTATATTGTTAATCCCGTCGCTCGTAGGATTTCATTGTTTACGCAATAATCGAATAAATAAATCTATTATAATCACCAAAATATTTTGTTTACGATTCTTTTTATGTTCAGTTAAGTTTAAGTTGCCACGATCTAAGAGCAAACACATGATGTCTGCATTAATTATTCAGACGTTAGTTAAAAAATTGTTTACTCTGTTTCGATTGATAGCAGTACGACTGATAGCGTTAAAAGTTTCCATTACATATTGAACGGAAACATGGTTGCCTTTAAATACATGTACACATCGACATTATTAATATTTCTGTATAAGTTACATTAAAATCAGGTTACTCATAAATAATTATATAACAAAAGAAGTCAAGTATTTTATTCAGCTGTAACATTTTTATAACAAGAATTATCATATATATAAATATGTCTTGAAATCCTATAATATTCAATGATAGAAAAAAAAAACAAAAAAAAAAAAACAACAGTACAGTAGTCAATTTACCGATACAATTTACATCATATTTCTATAAATAAATTCTTAATGTAGTCGTCGAGCCAGCTGTTTACAAATAATCCAATCCCGCAAGAAATGCTATATTGTCTAGGAGCATTAAATACATGTAAGTATATCAGGAGTTACAGCAATTGTGCTAGCATCACTGGAACAGACCACTGTTTTATATTCTAACTGGTGGTTCGTAACAATTATTTGACTTTATCTTGATCTTCATTTATATCACAAATGACATCAATAACAATTCACACACAATCATTTTGCAATCTTGGAATGTTTTTGATTGCTTTATAGGCATAATTTGTCACAAAGGTCTGGTGCATTTAGTGATAATGTGCTCTTCAAATTGACTTCGGATTTTTATTATGTCTGCGCGTCTATATAAAACTAGAAATGTAGCATTCGAACCAATAATCTCATATATATACATAAATCAAATACTACGTTTTGTTTTCTAAATGTTTGTTTTATATTGAAATAATGCGTTTGTGAATGATTTATAATCAGTTCAATAAAAACAAACGCTTTTCTTAAGCTTTCGACGTTTAGTCTTCTTCAGAAAAAATTGACGTTTATAAAATAACAAAAATTTTTTTTTTTTTTTTTTTTTTTTTTTTTTTTGTAAAGGATTCGTAGATTTCAATTTTTTGTTGAATTTAGTAATTATACTTACAATATAATGAACTCATGCTCCCGTACAATAAAGTTAGAAACTGTTTAGGTGTTTAAATTTATTTAATATTAAATGTCGATTATTTCCCGATATAAAATGTATGTTATACATTGTACTATGAAATTTTAATATAAATTCAATTATCATGGATGAAATCGTTTACTTGATACGCCTTAAGCTTATAAATATTTCCAGATATTTTTCCTAGCGATGGCTTAATTTTGATTTTTGTATAGTTACCTTAATTTTGAACATATTAAATGATGTCAAAATTCGAAAAAGTGTCATATTATTTTATTGCTATGCCTGTAAGGAAAGTGTAAATTATGTTAGAAATTTAATTTCATTCTTAGTATAATTATCATTTCAAGAGAAAATATGCTTCTTGAAATTACATGCCTTGTATAAAATGGTAACTTTACGTCAAATCTGAATCAAACGTGTTCTAACTATAAATATCTCGCTACAATTATAATCCACGAGTACAGAAAGATAAAGATATGTTTCTGAACACAATAAATGTTGACATAATATTAAGACCGAAAATATTTTTATCTTTGTTTTCCATGTAACTTTATAAAATACATAAGACTACAATGAAATTTTAAATCATCCTGTCGCTCTTTACCCGCTACTTTTGTTTTCGCTTTATCGTGGCGAAAATTATTATTATGCTTTAATTTTCAACTGTTAACAAGATTTCAATTAGCAGAAAAATAGTCATGATTAAACAGAAGTGGCAAATCATAAAGTGGATGTAAGAAGTGACCCGCATTAACCCTGAATTAAAGCACAAAATGAATCCATGTTTACGACACTTGTACAGCAATAAATTACCATTTTGTAACTAATAAGTTTTGTAAACAAAAATGTGATATTGGCAGAAAATGTTATTATCAGAAGTTGAGTTTTTCCTTTTGTGTTTCTGTCAATTAATTAATTGTACAACAAAGTTCAATTGCCTATACAGTTAGACAGTGTGAAATAACTCAGTCTTCCTAGAATGTAAAAGAACACCAGAATGCCAACAAACAATGGACAATATTCGTTGTCACGTTTTATGTTAATAAAATGTAAATCGATACCTGAATCATTAAAAGTTGAATGATTTATATGTTATGCAATATGTTGTTTTTAATTAAACAAATAACAATGTTTGTTTTCAATTATTTCCCTGAAGTCAACAATTTTTTTTATACAAAACAGACAATTTGAATGTTGTTAGAGAGAAAAGAGAAATACGACACTTGATCAAAATTTAGTGTTCAAATAAAACGTTTAATGTGGGAAAAAATAAAAAATCGATTGCAATTCTTTAAAAATGCTTTTCCATTATACTCGTTTCCAGGGCCTCAAAAGCTGAGTTCCAAAGGGAAAAAAATATTTGGAATTTACCAGACCACATAAAACAGACATACAATGTATGTGCAATAGCTAATAGAAGTGAATTATAATAATATTTTGTGTTCAATTTTAGAATTAGAAGTGTTTGAATGCTATTTAATCTTTCGGTAATTTTTCACAATCAGTCGGATACATGTTATTCTGTAAAAAATAGGGTGAAAATTACACTTACGCCACTGATGCAGACATATATAATATTTTATGCCTACATAAAAGATTTTATGTCATTGGACCCTATTTGTGACGTCCGGAACTTATCGATGTTAATCAGACTTTAGCTAAATGCATAAATTATGCTATTACCCAATCAGATGATAACATTTTATCATGTGATGTTTCTAAGCCAATAGATAGGCAGATAAGCCATATCTTTGTTCATTTTGGCGTACCTGGGCGGCGGGTTATCCCTTTTTGCGGTTTTTGCCTCCCAGTTAGTTCCTTTCGGGAATCTTTTATTAAAATATGTTTTTAAATCTATTTGTGTATTTAGTATAAATAATGCTAGTTTATGGCATTTGAATAAATGCCCTATTTTCATTCAAATCATGTGTTGTTTTCCCGCTGTTCCCTAACGAGTTCGACCTATCCTGTGCTTTCAACTTTGATCTTGGACAATACATAAATAATATGTTTTGCCCACACAAAAGATTTTATGTCATTGGACCCTATTTGTGACGTCTGGAACTTAACGATGTTAATCAGACTTTAGCTAATTGCATAAATTATGCTATTACCCAATCAGATGTTAACATTTTATCATGTGATATTTCTAAGCCAATAGATAGGCAGATAAGCCATATCTTTGTTCATTTTGGCGTACATCGTTTAGTTGCTAATTTTCTAAAAGAAAAAATAAAACCACCTCCTCCAACTCCACCACCTCTTTCAAAGGTTACCAAGATCAGGGTCCATGTAAATATGATGCACGCTTTTTTACTTATTGATCTAGTCTCTTTTGTTTTCATCAGGTCTTATATTATTACATATTGATTCTTTGTAAGGGCGGTTTTTGCCCTCCCAGTTAGCTCCTTTCGGGGATCTTTTATTATACTATGTCATGAAATCTTATTGTGTATTTAGCATAAATAATGCTAGTTTATGGCATTTTAATAAATGCCCGATTTTCATTCAAATCATGTGTTGTTTTCCCTTTGTTCCCTAACGAGTTCGACCAATCCTGTGATTTCAACGCTGATCTTGGACAATACATAAATATATATATGTATATAAAATGGTTCATAAATCTCTAAAACATTATTTCCATTACTGTTAGGTCAGGAAATCTACGAGAGGTACGGTACCTTTCATGTTATAAAAAATAGATACAACATTTCTTTTATAAAAGGTAGAGTTGTAATTTAAAAGCAGTTTGCTAACATTCGAGTAAGTCTGCTATTTTTAAGGCAGAATATAACGACAACAATAATTTATATTATGAACTGAAAATCAGATTGTGCAGTTTGCTCACACTTGATATTTTAGAAGTAGGTGAAGGAAATAGCATTTAACGATAACTTAATATTACTATTACTATAATTGATAAACAGGCAAAATATCGTTACACTAAAATATTGCGTTAAAAATATGTTATTTATATAATTCGTTTGCGATTTTATCATTTATATAGGCTAAGCATGACTTTGGATACCGTTGAGGGAAAAACAATACAATGCTTGTTTGTTTCGTGGGTTTTCATACGATTTTCACACATAATTGGTCGGTCTTCCTAACCGGCTATCTAGGATAGCTATCAGATATTATCAGTTTCTCAGCAGCTGACCTAGTGAAATACAAATGACAATTATATATCCAAGATCAACTAAAAATACACAAAAAAAGTCGCTTCGCCCGAGAAATAAAATGCCTGAGTGGTTAACGCATTTAACTAGTAATCTAGCCGTTGTTTCCCTTGAGCGAGAAACTGTACTGGTTGATGCCACGAACAGATAATAGCTTATAACTTCTCACACAAACGAACTTAAATAAATAAGTAATAAACTAAACTATGAATCAAAGTCTCATTTAAATTGGAACTATTGTATCTTTCTTTTCTTTAATAACTGGTAATTGTTTTGAAACAAAATATGTCTCAATTCCAATGGAACGTTCCGTGATGCTAATTAACTAAACTAATTTATGTTTTAAATAGCAATGACTACATACTTTGATTACATACTAGAAGAACGACTACACTTATCCATGACTTAGTCTATATAATGTATCAGCGAATATCTGTGCTCATATTGTGAATGAACCAAAACACATTTATTCGCAAATGGCAAAAAATATGTAAGTGGTTAGTATGAATTTATGAAACTAAAATTCATTCATTCAAACAAAATTTATTAGGATAAAATGCTACAAATACTATCGAATACAAACTATGGATTGTTGATGAATATATACTCAGTTTTAATTGATAATTCATTATTAATGAAAATATTTAAGAATTCAGTTTTAAAGAGAAAGAGAAATGCAAAATTAAATTATCATGATTGTTTTTTTTTTAAATATCAATTCAAGTATCCTTTTCATAAAATGAATCAAAGTTTGTTATATTAAGTTAGTATAGATGCAGTCATAATAAACGATACTAGAAACAATGGTATGTTTGTAATACTGATTTTTTTCTTCAGATTTGTAAAGACATAATATATTTTTTTAAACAAAACCAAAAACAGTGTTATGCTTGATGTAGTAGACATGAATATTAAATTCGTCTAATTACAGTTTACATTTAACAGCATCATTTTATGTAACACATCTAAAGACGGCATTTTATCAATTTGTTTAACGATTGCAAATTGTAAATTTGATCATAACATCCAATCTTAAACACCTAGTATTTTTTATTTTTACTACTCTCAATTCATGTACAATATATATGTTAACTTTGCGTGTTCAAATAAAAAACAACAACAATTAATTAATATACCTTACAAAGTTATTGCACACGATGAAAATCCACATTTCCTTAATCAAATAATTATATCTATATACATGGTTATTATCTTACCATTATACGATATTTTGTTAATCCGGATATTTTACGGTACTATTCAATAGTAGAATATAACATTCTTTGAAATGAATGTTCAACGTTGGCCGTCCTGTGGACTACTAATGATTTTGCTTGACTGTCATCACCGTTAACAATAACTGAACAAACACTAAATGAAAACCGCGAGATTTCCAATACACCAAGAGATGGCACTATATGATTTGCTACAGTTGATACAGCAATACTTTTATTCAGCGAGATACAGCCGAATCAATCGTAAAAAATACAATATAGAATAGGCGGAAATTTCATTAGCTTATTTAATGATTGAAGCTGTGCTAGGAGATAACGATGATTTACGTTGTCATCATGCTGTTTATCAAAGGAAAAAAAATAGCATACGTCTCCTTTAACAAAAACACATATCATTAATGAGTTATTCAATTACCTCTATCGTTTATTTTATATTAGCTGTGATCAAAAATTCGATGAATTAAATGATAATGATAAATAGTTGTACATTATACTCATTTAATGGTTTCTAGGATTATTACAGGCATAGGTATGAAGAAACTTTATTCACAATTTCCTTGTAGATTATTTTGTGTTTTACTGTTAACATTAAATTGGTTTTATGTTTGTGAAACAGAGATTTCTTTTACATACCTACAACTTGATTTAACTTGATTAAAAAAACAACAAAAAAAACACACACACAAAAAGTGTGTTCAACTTAAAAAAATTGCAATCACGGTCCTATAAAAGTATGCATTTAATACTTTTTACTTTTTATACAAGGCTATTGAGTTAAGATTTATAATGGATAACAACCTGTTTCATGAACACGCGATACGAAATAGAAAATATATCTTACATGAAAATTACGTATTTCAAGCAGACTAGACTGTAATGACAATAGGAAAGTTTTGTTTCCGACTTGGACAAATAACTATTTTTTATATGATATTGTCTTGAACAATTCCGCATTGTTGAATAATGTAACCATATATACGTCATACGTATATCAATTTTACGTTGTAAACAGGAAACAATTCTTATTGACAATAAATCATACTTATTCAATTTTATTACTACACAATTATCAGGATAAATGAGATCTGTAGTAATGAATCACGTTCTCTCTATTATATCATTTCCGATTTTTACATAAGTTGTTATCAAGATAAAGTTTATATAGAGGATATTTGTTTGTTTGTGTGTAAGATGAAATTTTATTTCATCGAGTGAGCTTTAAAGACAGTATTCTCACGAATGGTGAGTTCACGAGATGAAATAAAATTACATCTTACACAACAAACAAACACATTTTCTTTTTATTGTATGCTTAAAACAAGTTAAACCGAAATTTTCTTGATATTTACATTAATATTGAAATCTGTTTTCCCCATTGTTAGCCTCTCTATTAGTCGAATTTCTCATAAAATAATAAGTTTTGGGCTAAAATATAAGTTGGACAATCAACGTTAAATGGCTATGTTATCATTCATTTTATTCAAATAATATGAAAGTTGTTTGAATGATAAAACAAACAATTCTAGTATGAGAAAAAGTCCAAGTACCCATCCATATTTCTGTTACTTACGGCAAATTTATATAAGACTTGGCTCTGTGAAATGTAAGCGGCAGTCATTTTTAAAAGTTGTTGTTTCATGGGAGGAAAATAATTGTGTTTGATTCAGAGGGATATCATTTGCATTTGTTAGTCATACATCTTTTAAAAGAAGGAACACTTTTTGAGGATTGTTACAGACAATTAATAAGACTGCGCGGATGCGCAGGCTGATCTGCATCCATGCTGGTCGCAAACGCACTATGTTGGTTTTGTCGTGACGCAGCTCATATGTGTTACAATTAATGTTTCGTGTCATGTATAAGCATATATTTAAAGTTTGAAATTAAAACCTTTTGACTTACAGTAAACAGTTATTTAACTATATTTTTCATCAAAACTAATTCATTCCTGGGTTTGCAGCCTCAGACTAAATGGAAAGTAGTTGATTGAATCTTTATCAAAAGGATTAAGTTATCGATAAGCTATCTTCCTTTAACACAAATACAAACCACAAGGTTGCAACATATATATGCTCGTCTTAAGATTTAAGCAGAGAGATCTAGTTGGTGAAATGAATGGTTTTGTTTCCGGTATATACAACTGATATATGAGGGGAAAAAACTAGCTTGAATAATGAATGTTTTCGTTTCCGACACAACAAAAACATGTTATTATTGGCCTGATGATATCCTTAAGGCATTGTGGCTTAACTAGAGGACTGGCTTATTAACATGTTTCATTTCATGTTGAACGTATCTCTTTTGCTGAATTAAGATGCGGCCAATCCGTTAAATTAGAACATAATTGATTATACACTGACTGATTCATAAAATTAATTTTAGATAAGAACTTTTTGTATTAATATCAATTGCAATTTTGTACGTCGTGAAATTATTCAAAGTTACACCGCATTAACACTATATTATAGTTTTGGGTGTAGCTGAATTTTAGCTGTCCCCGCTAAAACCGATTTATAAATGTTTCAAAATGATAATAATAAATAATTATCAATAAAGTTATAGAACGTATGTGCTTTGTTTTTAAGAAACACTTTTCTTAAATAATTCAGGTAGTATCAGAATACAGTTTTAAAGAAGAAGAAGAGGAATAATAAGAAGGAAAAGAAAAAGAAGAAAAAGAACAACAACAACAACAAAAACATAAACAACCTAGAAAATATTTAAATACAACTGAAAAAGGAATACTTTTACGATTATATGATGTAATTTCTTAGCAGATTTTATCAAATTAGTTCCCATAACTTTGTATTATTTTAGGTTATTAATTTTTAATTCGCTGAAGTATGATATATGTATATTCAGGCAGCAGCAATTACAGATTAACATTCTGTAAATTTAATCAATTAAGGAAAGTCATCAATAAATCATACTGTATTGTGCAATAATTCATTATTTTTTTAAGTAAATTTCAAATGCATCACGATGAAAAAAAAATTGTAACATTAATTTCATTATAATGACTTCCTTGTTGTAGAGAATCATTTGTGCAATTTACACAGTTCTAAGAAATCTGTACCTGATCTGGAAACGCAATTCAGTATCTCTACGCTTATAATAAATCTGTATTTAAAATAATTTCGTGTACATATCGAAACATGCAGGCCTTCTTTATTTTTTTTTAATTATTTTAATCAATGCTAAGAATTTAGAGGCTTAAAAACATGCCTCTTTCATTAACTAACAAGAAATACATGATTTTTACAAGATTTATTCGGAAAATAATTTCTGTTTAATCTGTCAAGTCTATTTCAGTGTGTGACATATATTTTTGATGATTTTTCATTAATTTATAACTTTTGTCTCAAGTTTTTGTTGTTGTTGCTTTTTGCATATTGTCTTTCATTGTATTTAAACTGAATGACTTTTACTTTTATGTTGTTTTGACTTTATTTCACGCAAGGAAGGATTTTACGAGATAATATTAAAAACTGTAAGTAAGCATTTTTATTCGCTTTATAATAGGGCGTGCATTTAACATACCCCTATAATTCGCTTCATATAAATTACATGTTATATAATTATCACAAAATGGTTTACATCGTTTAAATCTTATTTTAGTATTTCTCTCGATGAGCGGTTGCGACTCGTTTATATACAATTACTTGTATAATAAAGTGTTTTAAATTTCAATAGCAATTGTAATGCGTAGCTTGATACGGGATTTATATATCATCGTATTTTATAATACAATGCAGATTATTTACAACATTGTCATAATATCAAAATAATAATTTCAATGATGTTCATTTCTCTTCCCAAACATTTTCATTATTGACGCAAAATGTATACATATTATGTTTGGATGTCTTTGGACAGATGTTTGTGATACACAAGCTACCAATAACAAGACAAAGACTTACTTAAACAATGGCGCTTGTATTACTGATATAATCCATTTGCATAATTTATGGTATTTGCTGGTGTATTGTCTGATCTTAATCACATGCTTCAGGTAACATGAATTAACATGAAACCATTGTCTATGTAAATGAGTATGAATAACTGAAAAACAGACTTTATAGTCAAAAGCTATTAATTGCTGCATTGTCCGCAATGAATACATGTTGAAATAAAAAAACGGGTTTCTTCAGTTAGCGCATTCAAGTTATAATCAATGTTGAAAGCATTTCATGTTTTTAAAACTTAAGGTAATTTTTGATGATATCTTGCTGCGGTAATCTTTTCATTCAAGATATTATTTTGTTTACAAAAGAAGTGTTTGTTCAGTGACCGAACATTTCTAATTTAAAATTTGTAACACACAATAATCTTTTGTCAATTCTCAAAATGGCTGTTTAGATACTGCGAAACTGGCGCCTCGTTATAGCTTTGCAATTTTCTGTTGTATGATTGTGTTTTATCATTTTAAACTTTTGGAAACTATGCGACAGCAATTATAAAGCGTATCATATTTATCGTCCATTTCTAAATATTTTTTTGCTAAATTACTTTCCTTTACTTATGTTCGTACATACGTACGTACCTTCCTTCTATTCGTTTTTAAAATTCTACGGGTACAAATGTCTTTTTAACAATGATATTTTATTTTAAGGATTTCATTTTGTTAATATGACATTTCTTCCTTTTACTTAAATAATGTACAATAATAACTCTTACATAAAATCGCAAATCAGAAGTAATAAATTAATTCTAAATCAAGATTAACGATAACAATAAATTTCTAATGTAACGAAGTTTATTTAAGTATTTCAATTAATATGGTAAAATGATAACTGATTAATATTATTACCAGACGTAGGCTTTTTATTCTTATGCGAGAAAGATATGCACATTAAATTCGTGTTACTGCGAGGTTTTCTTAACATTATCACCCACAGCAATATGGTGTAGATTTAGAGTTTCAGTCATTTTCATTTCTTTCAACTGTGGTTTCGCCTATTGTTATATTTGTTCTGTTGTTCTTTTTATTGTAGTTTTGTACAAACACAAAATAAATAATCAAGTTTAAAGGGACTCCTCTGAGTTTGTTTTTGACATGTCGGGACTGGTAATATCTGTTCAATATTTGTGTTACGGTAGATGAATTCTTAGACCATGAACTTATGAGTGCTACGTTTAATAAAATATAATTATATGATATACTGCTTGTAAATAGCTTGCCAATGCCAGGGTATGTAAATCCGCATTTAAGACATTAAGCTTGTAATAACATTTC